CCATTGTTCAAGGACATTGGGCTTGTCACTGACCAGACATTTTGAATCTGTTTCATGACCTCCTATATCTTGCCATGTAGTCATCTTTGTAAATTATTGTCTTCCTCCTTTGAACGTTCCATGATTTCTATATTTAAGCAGAAATTTGTGCTTTTTGTGACTGTAAAATTGAAGATATCGTTCACTGATATTTTTGAGCCTGAGACTGGTTAGTTTAGAAAGTGCACATTTTCCTCCCAAAAGGTAAATATGAAATAGATTCGCGTTCATTTCAATATTTTTGTGTTTTATCATGAGGTGAACTTAAATCATATTTGTCTGAAACAAGATCTACTTTGCAAAACACAATGAATGCGCAATTGATGCATTGTTGCCTGACCATACATTACCCCCAATTATATTTCCAGGCTGAAAATTGCTGGAGACAGCTTGAGGGGTTCCAGACAAGACTGATGGCTTCTCACCAAGTCCCTCTGTCTCCCCCCCCCCCCCCAATTCGTATGTCTCCCCCCCCCCCAGTCCCTCTGTTTCCCCCCCCCCCCCCCCCAAGTTCCTCACTAGCTGTAACTATCTTTACCCTTTCATTGTGACAAGACAGCTAAGTGGCTTCATTAGACAGAGATCATGAGCCAGTGGGCCCAACAAAATTCTGCTAAGCGAAGAAATTATCTGCTTAGCAAAAACGGGTTACCAGCCAAATATGATTCAATGTAAACTGCTCGTGACTGGTTCCTGGCCGATTTCTGCTTAGCAAGTAAATGTGCTTAGCGTAAATGTCTGCTTAGTAGCTCCGTGAAATTGAGCCCAGAGAAGGTGAAACTGAGAGCCCTCCATGCCTAGCCTGTCCGACTTACAGTTTAAGTCGGCTCATCCATCACCCGGTGCCTTGCACTTGCAAATATGCACTGGATAGCCAGGCTAGGTGTGGCTGTACTTTTCAACTGATCCGTGCTGCCACTAGCACTGGCAGCACTTTTATGTTAAACTGTCTGGCGTTTTAGAGGGGAAAAAAGTCAGAAGTGCATAACCGAAACTTTTTACTGTGAATGTTGACCTCGTCATGACATCGCCAGATGTGAAGAAATTGCCAAAAAGAAGGATTAAAAAAAAATGAAGAAAAAAAGCCGATAGTTTGTTTACATGTAGGTTACCTCTGGCTAAATGATAGAATTTCCTCAAAAGTTGTATTTTGAATAAGCCTTCAAGGAATTTTTGGTTGGCTTTTTGACAACAATGTATGTACTGAATACAACAGAAAATCATTCAAAATGCATTTCTTCATTTAAAGTAAAATGTAATAAATGAAGGGAATTTTTTTTCGTCAGGGTTCGTGGTACAGAGATTTGGTTGAGACATGAATTTACTGACAGAAATTGGTTAGGTTGAACACTATCCAGAACTCTACATGCAGAGCCACCAAATTATTGAACTGAATTGCCACATTGTCTCCTGCTAGAATTAAAAGCCTTTTTCAAGACCATTAATCTCAGATTCAGGTCAAAGGTTACTCAATGGAATGTCATAAAACTTTACCTTTTTCCCCCCTTGGTCAGTAGACAATCTTTGTCAAGTTTGTGTACCAAAGACTGTCTTTTGTCCAAACACTTCTAACAATCCTTTCATTGTTCGCCATAAAAAAAACTCCCACATTCCACACAGATATTGACAAATTACCCACTTCTAGCTCAGCATGATGCATTCGCTTTTTTTTTTTCTACGGCCATGATGGTTTCCAGACATCTTCCTGATTATTTTGTATTTTTCTTACAAAGCACAGACTTGAAAGTGTTTGAAATTTTTTTGTTTCCTCTGTCAACATGTAGATTTAATACGTCAGTGTAATCCCTTGGATATGGACTATCTTTCCATAATTGATGCTCTTCTTACAAAAAAAACGGGGGATAACAAATGAACACAAAGACTCTTGAAATGCAGTAACAATCGGTCCTCCTGTTTGGTACAAACGTTCCTTTGTCGGAACTTAACTTGTTTAAATGCAAGCAACTCGTTGACAAAAGTGCACATTTTTCGCAATGCTTTGTGCCCACATTTCTTTTGCCAAAAATTATTTCCTGGTAGAGAAATGTTTGCTGTTAATGTAAGCGGCACATATATTATTGAGTTAACTGTGGTTCTTAAAAGAACCCAGTTTAACTGGAACCGAAAACAACTTGGAGAACCAAAAGAGAATGGAAAAAAAATGCAGCCACAGTGAACACTTTTCATATCTCTACAGTGCAAAACCTCCAAAGTCGGTATCCATATGTTGTCACATTTCAACTGAATCACTAAATCATGCTTGAATCTGTAAGTTGAATCGTGGATGTACTTACGCTTACAAGTTGCTTCTAGACTTAACATACAAATCAAAATGGCATTCGGAACACAAGAAATTAAAACGAAACACTGTCCCATCCCCTGTTTTGCTTTCCAGCAATCCCCAGTGTTCTACCACGACTTTAAATACATACCAGCCGAAATCCTGAGAATGCATAATATTGATTACAGTCATTTTCAACGGCCACGGTGCATAACGGATATTGGCTTTGGATCGGGTGTCCTCTTGAAAGCCTGCTTGCCACTCGACCTCTTTCTCATCTCGGACACCCCCCCCCTTCTCTTCTCTTGCCACCCTTCGTTCCTCAGGTCCCAGCTACTTACATGTGCCTGACATCTTTATTCAAAATCACAAGATGGGTTCAATAAACACATTCCTGTTTTGCCTTTCATGGTGTTATGAATTTCCTTTTGAAATATATTCACTGGCTAGTTAACCTGTCATTCTCAGGTTATCAAGATAAACACACCTGATATGCATGAACTAACCACGGTTATCAAGAATAGGTTCTTCTGTTTTGATTCGTTAGAGAAATCTGAATTTTCTGAGAAATATACCCATTGGTTAGTTAACCTGTGATACCATGGTTACCAGGATAGTTAAACCTGATTGGCAGAAACTAACCAAGGTTATTGAGAGTAGGCACTTCCTTTTGGGTATTATGAAATTTCTTAGAAACATGTTAACTGGTTAGTTAACCTGTTTTACCAGGGTTAATAGGATAAACAAGCTGCTTTACATTGGACGTACATGTACTAGGGTTATTGAGAGTATAGGCACTTCCTTTTTATTTTATTCTAAAAAATACGTTGAGCTGGTTAAGTAACCAAAATGTGATACCAGGGTTATCAGGTTACTTAAACCCGATTTGCATGAACTAACCAAGGTTATTGAGAGTAGTGCTTCCTTTATGCTTTGTTATCTTAGAAGTCTGTTCACTGGTTAGATAACCCAAATGTGATACCACGGTTGTTAAGCTGACCAGACCTTCTTTCATTAACTAACCAGGGTTATCAAGAATAGTCTGGTCATTGCTCTTAAGCCCGGTTTATACTTCACGCGAAAACAAGTGCGAAGCGAAATTCATGTCGTCAACAATGGTGGACGCGCTTCGAACGTATTGTTGACGTCAGGAATTTCGTTTCGCTTTCGCGTGAAGTATGGACCGGGCTTTAAACCTTGAATGTGACAGTTCTCAGACATTACAAAAAGAAGATGTCATGTTCTTGTCAGTTAAAGGGAATATACATCATTTGCTTTTGCTGTAATTTTCAGAAATGGATGGAATTGGGGGGTTGGAAATATCATAGCAAATATAGTTACACTGACTTTTTTGAGGTTTTGGGTTCGAAAATGCTATAAAAACAAGAAAAATAATCATTTTCCTGTAGTCTGGTTCCCTGACTCCATTTAAGAAGAAACAGAGCAGTTTACATATATTGGGGAATTGTAAGGTCAGGGAACCAGTCTAGCTGGCTTGTACCCGTTCATAGGTGTGTAATCGATTGCAAACAAGTGCGATGGTCAACTGGGGCCAGTATTTGAAAAAAAGCCAGTTTTTTTCCAACGCTGATCGGCCGATCAGCGTTGGAAATTGATACAAAAATTCCACTTTTCTTGAAAATGACAGTATACCAGGTGCCATGATTTTACAGGATGCTTTACACTGTCATTCACTAACAGTCCAGCAAGGTATTTCAAAATGATTTGGTAGTTTTATTTTTTGATGTTTGCAAATGTTGTATTTTCCCTTTAACATTCATGTTTGAAGTGAGGTCCCAGTAGGCTCCATAAAAGCATGTTCATCACTAGCTCCTTGATGTATTTTTCACCTCGTTGACCTACAAATCTGTGGTTGTACTCAGCCCTGGAGTTGTCTCTGTACTTACAGGGAGGGCAGAGGAATGCCTTTTATTTTCCTCAGGGATGCGCGCTTGTCAGTAAATAAGAACTTTGTCTTGCAAACATGAATCGTATACTTACAGGGGAGCAAGGGGCTGGGATGATGAAGCCGTTTGCGCTGCTGGTTTGCCCAACTGTGCTTATACATACATACCAACGAGCTACATGTCTGTAAATTTGTTATTCTCTCAGCGAGGCTGCGTGTCTGCATATTTTTGTTTTTGAGGATATTGGCTATCCTGACTAGAGTTTTAAAGTGAGAAATTGGCTTTGAGGTGTCAAAAATTGGCTGTTATTTGAAAACATGGTTTGCAAAATGGTGTCCCAAAGTCACTAAACACCCTTCTGTTTAAAAAGCTAAACATTGTTCTGAGAGTATTTGTTGGGAAAGATTGTTCATTGAAACTTAAAAAGGGCTTCTTGAAAATCCTAAAGTCTTTCCTATGTTGTTAATTATGCAGAATAGTTAATTACGTGTATGGTTATTTCTAACTCCTGTAAAGGGGCGAGTGACCATGTTTTGATTTTTTGTAAATTAAACCTACAAAATACCGCCCTCTATGAGCAGTGCATAAGAGCATGATAATAAAGGTTTTCTGGGGTTAAGAATACCCTTGGACATGTGACCCTTTCTGTTTGGAGTTGACACCACCAGAACACTCTATATTTGCATAACAAGTTAGATGACAGATGAACAGTGACAGAAATATTTGTAGATCTGTATTTAAATCTGTGTTTTCTTGGTCTTTTGTTTCCATAGCAACAAGAACAAGATCCCACCAATTTGTACCTTTCCAACCTTCCCAAGAGCTACGATGAGAAGGAACTGGAGAACATGCTGGCCCCCTACGGTCACGTGATCAGCACTCGGATACTCCGAGACAGCCAGACGCAACTCAGTAGAGGAGTGGGCTTTGCAAGGTCAGAGAAAATAAAAGGCTGACATGCTCTTATGTATTGCTTATAGAGGGCGCTGTTTTGTAAGATATGAGATAATATGCTATGCTTTATCTGTGAATGGTCATGTCATCAGCACTCTGTACTCCTAGACAGCTGAACTCATTGAGTAGAAGGTTGGGCTTTGTATGGTGAGAGTGCGCTTATGCACTCTTCATAGAGGGCACTCTTGTGTAGGTTATTAGAGACGAGCAGCTCTTGCTGATATGATCATGTCCTCAGTTACTCTAAAATTCTAACAATAGGTCTATTGTATTCTTGTTATATTTCATATCTTCCCCAAAATATTTTACTATTTTACATTTTCATTTGAGAAATTTATCTCCTTAATACCTTTCCCGTTGGCCATATATTGAAGATGTGGTACTGGTTCTAACCAAATTTAAAAGTTTTTTTTTTATCCTGCAGACAAATTTTGTTCATTCTTTATGATTTTTTTATTTTTCAGAATGGAGTCCAAGGAGAAGTGTGAAGAAGTGATCAAAAGGTTTAACGGTTACCAAGTTCCCGGTACGTAAAACTAAACACGGGATTTGAACTGCGGACCTCCAGAACATTGGTCTCAGGTTCAAATCCGGCAGTAGTGAATTTCTTTGTTGAATTTAGGTTAAAATTTATTGCTCAAAACTCAACACAGTAAAATTTCACTCTGTGCTATATTTGATAAGCCAAAGACATTTCAAATTCACATACACGTCCATATTGGTTGATGAAATGACCATATTGCTCAGGTTCTTAAAATTGCCCCCTTCTTTCTCTCCCTAACTCCGCCTCTCCCTCCTACAGGCCAGCATGATCCCTTACTATGCAAGTTTGCCGATGGTGGCGTCAAGAAACGGAATCAATACAACAAGCAACAGACAACGACGCCAGGTCTCTGGCAACCACGAGCCGACCAGAGCCAGCTATCCTACGACAGCGCTGTTTATCAAAGGAACGGGTACGTACCGTGGGCCTCAAGACTTGGGCTTGTCTGAGTCCGAGTCCTTTATATAAGTAATCCATCCTTTTTGCATACGTGTTGGTAAAAGTTTTGTTTGAGATTTGCCAACAAAAGGGCTGGAAAGCTCAGTTGGTAGAGCACTGGAGTTGTAATCCGGAGGTTGCAGGTTCAAACTCCGCTCCAGTCAATTCTTTATTCAACTTCAAAAATTATGTTGATAAAGTGTGTGAAGATTTTTTTTCCAAATTTATTAAAGAATATCTTCAAGCCATTGCAGTGCAAGACCCTTTTGCAATTGGTCTTTTGCGCCAAGCTTGGTCACAAAAAACAGTTGTTAGATTTTAAATATTTAAGTAGAAGTTGTTTGAGGTTTGACTTTTTCCCAACAAAACATTCCATTCTATTAAAAATATCAAATTGTTTAGTTAATTATTGGCAAAATGTGCGACTTGGACTTAATTCAACCTGTGGTGCAGGCCACAGTTCTTACAGAAAAGAAATTTTGAAAAGAATTTTCCAAGATAAATGATCAGATCTGTGCTGGTCCAATCTCGAACAATTGATGAGCTGTTTTGATGTTGTTTACCACTGTCGGTGAAGCGGGTCTGTATCCCCCTTCAATCTTCAGGTGTGTGTGTGGGTGTCCGACACAGACAGTCTAAGCCCCTTTGTCGCCCAGAGGGGAACGCTCTCTGAACACTTTGATAGAGAGGCTAGTCCTGTAACTTTTTGGCCTCGAGGTCACTGAACTTCAACTTGTGTATCTGGAATGATCGGTGATTGGGGGGGGGGGATTTCAGGGGGTGTGTTTTGATCCAGACATGGGGCGGTAACACCTGTTGTCCGCATTCTGTCATGGTAGACTGTCGTAGTCAATTACTGTTGTTGTGTGCTGGTAAGAGTACGGAAAATTGACTGAGTGTAATGCTGAGAGCTACATAAGTGCGAGTATGGTAAAAACCAAGGGTGAGTGCACAATAAGCTCTTGCTGTGTTGCAAGAAGTCTTGCATACATCGATCAGAATTATCCCTGCCGGAGCTGAAAAATGTGACGCCGAAAAATGCGACGCCGATGGCACATATGGAACACCATACTTTTGATCGAATTTCCGGGGACAGACGGACCAACAATCAGACAGACAGACCATCAGACCGACCGACCACCAAGTACCGGTAACATGTAGAAGCTCCTTCCAGAGCTTAACAATTGACTTCAGTACAAGTGTGAGAGCTACAACTTTGAGTAGTAGTCCAGTAGATTTTGTTGAGTATGAGTTTGAGTATGGGTTCCCTTCCCCCCCCCCCCCCCCCCCAAAAAAATTCAAAATTAAAAAACCAGTACCGAGTACAAATGTCAACCTTACGTTTATAGTAATGATACATACTAAGGGTGGCATGGGTGGCTTGTGCGTAAAGCGCTCGCCTCTCACCTAGGTGACCATGGTTTGAATCCTGGCCACGGATCACATGTGAGCAGAGTTGTGCGTTGGTTCTCTCTTGTGCCACAAGGGTTTTTCTCCGGGCCCTCCGGTTTTCCTCCCTCCGGAAAAATCAAACATTTTCGATCTCAGGCTGTGCTCCGTGGTCATATATGGGTCGATGTGGCCGGCAGCCATAGGTGCCTTTACGTGCCAGTGGCCCGACCACATTGTAGCCGCGTCCTTTGCAATTCAGTAAACCAGCTGCGAGTAAGGATGATTAGCCTCCCAAATTATGATACTAAGTTTAGTACTAGCACAACTTTTTGTACTGATACAGTCTCAGTTGTTGCTAGGTGTAGTTTGAGTATGAGTGCAGAAAAACACTCTGGGTTTTAGGACACCCGTGCTTAGTTTAAAAACTCACATTCTGAGTCACTTCGACCAGTGTGTGGTCGTGAGTCACTATCAGTTCAAGACATGTCCTTGACGAAAATCTGTACACAGTGAAACAACGCATGGGCCTGATATTGAATTGAGCAGTAAGGAAATTAACAATACTACTTGGCAGAGAACGGACGGGCAACTTTAGTTCATAAAATGATGTAATGCACTGTGAGTATCTATTCAACATGCTCTATGTTAATAATTATTGTTCATCTCATCTCCTCGATTATTTCCCTCCAGCCACAACCTAGGAAACGCCATGGTCACCCAGATGATGCCCGCCCCCTTTGTCGGTTCCCAGCAGATCGGCTACTCCGTTCAGTCCAGTAACCCTGGCTGGATGACCCAGGCTGCTACGCCGTACATCGTCCCCCAACAGCATCTCACATCTGTCAGTTCACATATGGTAAGTGTGTTCTTGGGCAAGACACTTTACCACAATTGCGGCTCTCCACCCAGGAGCTTAAGTGGCTACCTGTGTGGGCAGAGAACAGGTTGCGCTGATTTTGAGAAGCTGCTGTTAAAAACCGTGGCCCGGTGAATAGGGGGAGTAATTGTGAAGCGTGTGGAAATGCAGTACAACCACACTGCAATGTTAACATTTTCGAAACGTCATCTGTATGGGTGGCTTGTGGCTTGTGCGTAAAGCGCTCGCCTCTCACCAAGGTGACCACGGCTCGAATCCTGGCCGCGGATTGCATGTGAGTAGAGTTGTGCGTTGGTTCTCTCCTGTGCCACGAGGATTTTTCTCCGGGCCCTCCGGTTTTCCTCCCTCCGGAAAAATCAAACACTTTCGATCTCAGGCTGTGCTCCGTGGTCATATATGGGTCGATGTGGCCGGCAGCCATAGGCGCCTTCACGTGCCAGCGGCCCGACCACGTTGTAGCCGCGTCCTTCGCAATTCAGCATACCAGCTGCGAGTTAGAGAATGATTAGCCTCCCAAATTATTATATAAACTGTTTTTGAAGCTGATTTTGTATTGTCGATAATTATTTCCATAGGGCACATCGATACTCCCGCAATCGCCCAGCATGGAGCAAGCCCTTAACGTACCCAACACTGGCATGGTGCATCAGATAGGACAACAAATGAGCACCCTTCAACTACAACCGGTAAGAAACCCACAGACTTGTCTTTGCAAAGTCGATTTTGGAATCAAAGAGAAAAATTACAAGATACTGACAAAAACCCCTCGAACAAGGACATTGACAAAACAGGGAACCGCCAACAAAGGGCTGGATAGCTCAGTCGGTAAAGTACTGGAATGGCAATCCGGAGGTGGCAGGTTCAAACCCCTTTGCGGGCAGTTGCTTTGTTCAACTTTAAAATTTAAAGTTGTGGGTTTCAAAACGGCCAGCTGATCCCAGCTAGCTGAATGGTTAAACGGTCTGCACCTGCAAGCAGGAGGTTGTGGGTTTGAACCACTTCTGATCAATCTCATGACAGCAAAGAGTATCCGGTTAGTAAGTGACTGTGTCATACACGTGTACGCACCACTGATAACTAGCACCCATTTGCTGAGCACGCAACTTTACACTACTTCTGGTTTCAATGGTTCCAATGCTTCTCCTTGTGCAGTGACGCGTGTTAAGTTTAAATGACTTCACACTTACGAACCGGATACTTTGCTAATAACTGGACACTAATGTTCCAATTAGATAAGTTTTTGGATGTTGCATATAAAGGGTAAAAAATGAGCTGGTATTTTCTTCAGTTTTTTTCCCTATACCTTGCTAAGTTGAAAGTGACTAGGACAAGAATATACAAGGAAATACAAGAGATGATATCCTTTATATTTGAGAAAATAACAGGCATCTTTTCTGTGTGATACGTTTGTAGCGTGGACAGACACACTGCAACGAAAAGGGTGCTTAGGACAAATTCAGTTTCTAATAGGCACTTACAATGACATTATTAAACCATTTTACATTGTTATCAAGTGAAAATATAACAGTTTTCACACTGGCTTCAAATTTATGATGTGATTTGTGTTACGTATGAAAAGGGACAGACATTTTGTGACAAATGTCCAGTCTGTTCGTACGTATATATCCTGATTATAAAATATCAAATAATTCTTCACATTGACTCTGAGTTTTCTAGGGTTTGACTGATAGCATTCCTCAAGGTTCAGCTTCTTACATATGTCAATATTAGGGGATCATTAAATTTTATGCTTAATTTGTGACTTTATCTAAAATGTCTGTCCTTCGTTACGTACATGTACATAACACTTTTAAATACAATATCCACTATATTTTCTAAAATACAAAATCAGTTATATAATTTGCTGGTGAGGATATGTGTTCGCAGCTTGCAATGTTTACAGCAAAAATTGAGAGACCAAGATCCTAGTTTTATCATCAAAACTTAAAGAACTCCTCAAATGTCGCACTTTTGGGCCCATTAGTGTGGAATTGCCAAACTACATACGTCATCATTTTCATAGTGCTTGGGCATATTCTAGTTTGGTCCCTTTTTTTCTCTCCATGCAGTACATGCAGCCTGGTTCCTACATGGGCCCGCATACATATCAACACGGGACCACAGTGCTGCAGCCTGTTGCAGTTGAGGTAATCAAATCAGCTACCCAAATCTGCCCCTACCCAACTTCGAATTGGGTCCGATTGAAAAATCGGGTCTGATTCCTAAATGGGCCAAATTCACTGAGCTGCATGAAGAGTCAAAAAACTTACGCCATGTCCAAAACTTGTATTCCAAAGTTGTCATTTTTCGAAGCCTAGACGATAGCACTGGATGAGAGATTCAGATGCTTATTTAAACAAACACAAATATTCTGTGCGGCTTGATGAAATTGGCCCAATTTGAACCGAATCCCAAGTTAAGTCATTGGTGTATGCTAACAAAATCACAGGCCAAGTTCCTTGCACCTTGCATCTCTTTTTTCACCCTGCCATCTACGTTTTGGTTTCGAGAAGCAAGTCATGGTAAAGTGGCTTGCCAAAGGACACTCACACTCCACAACCCAACTGGAGTCAAATTAGGCCCCCCAAAAAATTATTCGGTCTCTGGTCAGACCAAAGTTCCGGAATTGACGCGGCGACGCAGCTTCTTTTTTTTTCTTCAAGCTTGGATTGTACAGACAAGGTGGGGTACTAGTTTGCTTTTTTGGTGTCCTCATGTACATTGGTGTCCTCCATAATTTGCCTTGGTGCTCTCGATCATTTGCCTTGGTGCAATTTCCCATTTCTTGGTGCTCTTTGGTAAAAAAAATTGAGGAGGTGCGGCAATAGAGGGTTGTTGGAGCTACCGCGGAACATTTTGGAAAAAAAAAAGATTGAAGTGCATGATTAAAATCGACGCGCGCGCTGACCAGAGACCAACTTATTATTTTTTTTGGCCTTAGCTACCTTATAAAGTGAACTCTTAAGGTGTTTGGTTCACTGCACCAGCCTTTAAGATTGATGATCAACAACAACAAAAATAGAAGAAGAAAAAAAGTTTTCTTCTTATCCACAAGCTAATTTCTATATCAAAAGCACTGCTCTGGTACAGGATGAAAAACAAAGAGACTGCTCGCATAGGATTTCCATTATTATAAGGAATTTGGCGTGTGATGTTTGTTTGTTGTCCTTTGTTCTCTTCTTGGCATGCTGGTGGTGACTTCCTGAACAAATTAGTGCTTTTTTGTTGGATTGTAGGGAAGAAATCTGAACATAACGGGCAGTTGTAAACAAAACATGTCTGAGATTTCTTTGGCGTCAGTAATTGGGTCTAATGTGGAAGTCTGGTTGGGGAATCAGGGTTCAAAACGATTGGAGGGAGAAATATACTTAAAATATGGAAGGTCATTTTAAATACGATGATTTGGGAATGGTAATTCTTTTCTCATTGAAAACCATCTTGGTTATTTGGAAGATTACTCAAAGATTTTTTCTTGTAGTTGCGATGTTAGCATTTTCAAGAAAAGAAAATCTGAAGCGTTTGCAATCTTTTCCATTCTGTGATGCATGAATGTACTTGTAGCCGTCAGTGTAGACAAAACTCTGTAGCTTAGCAACGCATGCTGACCATCCCTTGCTCTCTCTTCCCCCTCTCTCTCCCCCACTATGTTTGCTCTCTGGTGTGTCACCTTCTTCATCATCCTCCCCTACCTGCCTGGTGTCGGTGTCTGTCACTCTTTGTATATCACCATCTCCCTTTTTGGCTGTTGCACCCCTTCCTGCATCCCCACCCTCTTTCCCCACCCCTTTTCACCACCCCTTCCCCACCCCTTCCCTGACCCCTCTTCTGTGTATGTTTGTAATGGCTTCCGATACAACACCTAACTGTAACCCCCAACACAAACTCCACGTCAAACCCTTGTACAAATGCCATGTCCACACTCAACACAAACCCAACTTCAAAATCGACCCCATCCCTACACGAAACCCCATGTCAAATACCATGCCAAATCCCCACACATAAATGACTCCATACCTCCAAACAAACCTCATGTCAAATCACCCTTCATGTACCATGTCGAACCATTCCCAAATCCCACCTAAAATCACTCCACACCAAATACCCACAAAAACTCCATGTCAAACACCCACACACACCCCTTCCCCTCCCCACCCCTCAACATACAGGATGCGTCCGGTGTCCCCGTACAGGCACCAGATGCATCCCCTCACACCTCACACCCGTCTTCGCCCCAGGAACAAATGGAGGACGTACACAGCCAGGGGCAACCCCAGCAGTATTATGCAGCCGCACCGGTGGTCACAGCCCATGCCAAATAGGGAGGGGGAGAGCCAAGGGGGACATCAGTAGTGTTGTTATGCCGTGAGTATACTAACCTCCAACCCATGGGCGTTTTTGGGCTAGGAAAATTCATGTATTTGCAAATAAATTTGCTGTGAAAAATCGGGGGCTGCTTGACTGGTTTGCAGGGTATATCTTATTATCTGCCTCTTTTGGGAAAAAAAATTGGTTGCGCTCTGTATCTTGTGTGATGTGTAGTGTGCTTGAGTCTTGACCTTGATTTCTGAGGGAACATTTTCTACAATCGTTACTGCCAATGCAAAATCTTGTTATACCTGCAAGTATTTGCCCTACCTATTTGCAAAAAAAAGTTGAACAAATTTCATCTGCACCTGGTTTTTTTTCAGCGGAAGTTTCATATTTCAAATGCGGATTGAATTCGTGTTTAGTGTAAAACGGGCATTTACACTGCATTCAGTTATGGGCAAATCCTCATCTTCCTGTACTGTGCAGAAACCTCCTCTGGAGTATACTCGCAAAATCTTGAACCCTTTTGTTGTTGTTTGTTCTTGTCTCTACACACAGGTCCCTTCACAGTCACCGGAATCTCACACAAGCGAGTAAGCTTAAATCACCGTCAGTATTACAAAGGTTCTGCGTACCTCACATCCCGGAAATGGTTTCCTCTACTACAACTCTCAAAAGAAGAGAATTCCCAGTTCAGATATAACTGACTTCAAAAAGGCACTGAAAGTTTTGTCAGCAATTGTTGGCCTTTTCTCTTGATTGGTCAAGTGTTACCGTGGCAACCAGCTAAGACGAGGATCGTCTGAACTATGGAACAGAAGCAATCGTTGGAATTATTGGGAAGAGGTCAAGATTTGGAAGGTTAAAGGTCGAATGTTTGTCAGGAGATTTTGGAAGATTCGAGAGCTGCTTCGTGATTTTATATTTTGCTTTGAATTAAACCCACCGCATTCTCCGTTCGATGATAAAATCGGACGGAGAAAAAAAAGCAGCTTGGAACTGCAGATCCGTCAAGAAAGTGTTGTCAAGAGATGACCGAGAAGTAGAACTGCTGATCACAGAGTAGCCGCTAAGCTTAGAGATTTTTGCAAATCAATATGCCTTTTTCTATTTGTTGAATACTTAACAAAAGACACAAGTTGGTGGTTGTGGAAGAGGCCATATTATGTAGATGAGCCGGTCTCTGCCAGAAAAAGATGTTGGTCTTTCTTCAAAATAGTTTCCTTTAATTCTTTTTAGAGAGTTGTGCCAATTTTTTGATAAGTTGATACCACAGGATGCACACACTATACCAGTGTTGCTTCGTTACGTGAAGTGAAATTGTGTTGGTCAAAAAAGAAACAACTCATACAGGCTGGAAATAAAGACTTTATGGGGGAGGGGTCATATTTCTTTTCCCCCATCAACTTAATTGAGCAGAGACATTCACAAAAAAGGGGAACTGCCAACATAAGGCTGGAAAGCTTAGTTGGTAGCGCACTGGAACGGCAATCCGGAGGTTGCAGGTTCAAACCCTGCTGCAGTCAATTCTTTGTTCAACTTTAAAAAAAAAAATTACTTGTTTGTGTCTTAAGGTACAAGGTCTTGATTTGCTTACCAATATTTCATGCTTAGCAGCTTAGTGTTGATGCCAGTGTCTTGTGGAACTTCTAAGGGAAACTAGAGACGGCCGATAAGCATTGTTCAATTTTGACAGATGAAAAGGACACATTTTTAACGATTGTGACATTTCTTTCTGTGTTTTTGCCATATTGCATTCCTGTGGTAAATGTGAATATGAATGAGTAGCGTGTTGTTCAAAAGTGAGTTGTTTTTTTTCGTTTTGGTTTTTGTTAATTTTTTCGGTTCATTACAAATAGCGTTTATGCCAGACTTTCCTTTTTTACACAAAGTAAAACATCGATGCTCTGAAAATATCAAAAGCCAGTCCATTGTATTGGTGTGGACAATAATGGTGGGAAAAAAACTCAAAAAGAAAAAGACAGACACACATCGCCGTGGCGATTCAATACAGAAGAGAATTATAAGGAATTTAAAAATAAAAATAATAAAAGAAAATAACAATAATAATATATGTAGAGTCTATTTTGCTATTTTTCAAAAAAGGAGCTATTTTTTAAAAATGAAATTTATGTGTCTTTAAAAAATCATGGCTCTTATAATTCAGCTCATGCATTTTAGGGGAAACGTCTTCAAGTTTTTTTTCTCTGTAATAAGAGACATTTTTATCTTTTCAGATTTTTAAGGTAAATTTTTTTTTTAATCGTTGAAGAGACTGCTCTAAAAATATCTGTAGATTCCTTGTGAATAGGTGGTTTTTGGATTGATTTGGTGGTAATTGCGAGAAAAAAGGGTGTTTGAGTGATTTAGATAGTTGACTTTTTGTAAAAAAAAAACGTTATTTGGTGTGGAGGTAAGACATTTTTCTGTCAGTCCAAGAGATTGGACAACAAAATGTCACTAGGTAGCATTGTCTGATTTTCTTATTGACAAGATTTTAAGAATATAAATGACTGAAAGAGTTGATTTTTTTTACGTTCAATCATTCTAAATTACATTGCCTGGGCGATACATTGCCTCGTTTTGTTTTTAAAATATTTTAGCACAAAGGTACCTGGAGAAAAATACTAGAAATTTAGAGTAATTTAAGAGTCTTTTTTTTGTAAGTGATACAAAAATTTTAGAAGTGAAACAGGGAAAGTTTATTGTGTGACCTGTCTGGTTTGTCTTTTTTTGTTTTGTTTTAAGGAAATACCTCAGAGTCTTAGTAATATTGTAATTTTTTTTGTACAAAGATGAGTTAACGTTGTTGTTTCTTTTTGGTTCTTAAGTAGGACTAGACTAGAATTTAGCGAGTAAATTATGTGATGATGATGTGGTTATAATGTTGTTGACACACACAAAATCTATGCATTGAAAGTAGACAAGGCATTCCTGGAGAACAGATAAATTAAAAACAAGAAAAAAAAAGAGAAAAAAAAAAGAACACAAAATTAAATAAAAATGGTGCTCTGATTTTCCTTATTCTCAGTCGATTTAGTCCTTAGAAGTAAATAAAATACTAGTGCACAGTTGTTCCGGGAGGGAGGCTGCAAAGGTCAAAGTTGAAATGCCGCGTGATTGTCCATTGATGGTCTTGTGAATACAATAGGTGGAATTTTCTAGTCTGTTTCGAACTATTGTTTGTGCTGTATTATGTGATAGTGTGGTGTGGATCTGTCCGTTGAAATGTATTTGTGAAAGAGAGGGAAAAAAATACAACCATCCTAGTTTGCCAATTCATCTGGTATTTTTTACAAGATGCAGCTGACTTTGGTGTAAGCATTATATTAAAAAAAAAAAGGCTGTTTAACTGGAAGAGAAGAAATATATGTGCCATAGTTTTGTTTTTTCCTTTTTGTTTTGAAACCAAAACACAGAGGGGCTACAAGAAAACTGTAACTAACTTATAAGACTTTTTCATTTTTGTTTTTTAGGGTTTTTTTTTTAGTTGGGGTCCGGCACTGTTGCGTCAATTCTCAGGAAGGTAATGGAAAAAAAAATAAGAAAGAACAAATTGATTTCTGCGAGCATCTCTGAAAATAAAATGTTCCCTTTTAGTTGAGTTTCTTAATGCAAATGTTTTGGCACTTAACTCGATTTTTACCTCTTAACATCAGGCAATATATAAAAAAAAAGAGAAAAAAAAGTATTTTGGAAGAAAAAAAACTATGTTTCTTCTTGCTTTACCTCATAGTGTGCACTTAACTCAAGTGTCCAAAAATTGTAAAAAAAACTTTAAAAAACTAACGTTGCAGAAAATGCAAAACTTAACTGAAACAGAAGAAGCTAAGTCGGCGTTCAAAAAAATAGGTCAACATTTCTTTGATGTTTTTCAATGATATTTTTCTTGCATGTGTTGAGCACCTGTGCTGTGGTCATCCCCAAAACTAAATTGTGATATTTTAAATTTCATTTCGTTTTCTTAGTTTTTTTTCTGTTTTTTTTTGGTTGAGAACATAGGGGCTGATACTTTTAGGGAAAAAGTTCTCGCTGAATGTAAATAATGCCATCCTTTGTCGAATTAAGTAGTTTTCCTTTTTCTTTGACAAGTTTTCTAAAACTTTTTAAGGTTTATTTTACAAATACGTTTGGTAGAAGAAGTAGATTTTTCTTTTTTAGAAAATCCAGAGATGATGATTTTTAAGGTGGAATCGGCATAGTATTCAAATTTATGTTTGTTAATTTTGATGATTTGTGGGTTGATTTCGTAGATTTGGTGGGTTTTTTTGACAAAATTAACGGTAGATTTTTTTTGTTTGCACTTGGGATTGTACAGATATGGCTTTGTATTTTCTGAGAGGAAAAAAACATGTTGCATTGGCAGGGGTTATTTGTCATCTAGAAAACTTGAAAAACTCTGTGAAAAGATTTTGAAATGATAGGAACGCACACTAAAAGATTAAAAGTCTAGAACAGAAGCCACTCATATTTGGAGTAAATATATACTCAGAACAGACAAACATGCAGTGAAAAGTTCTGATTCCAGAGAATTAATTCAGTGATTTTGTTCTCCACAACTGCATGTGACTCAACTACAGAAAAGGCTTACAAATTTAATTTTTTTGTGGAAAATAAAAGTAAACGTCATTCTGTCCAGATATGCCTTGAAGATTAGTTTTTCATTGTCAGTGCAACAAGTTTTTAAAGTTGATGTGATGGTAAAAAACGAGCCCTTTTTCTTCCATTGTATTAAAAGACTATTTCTAGTATTTCTTTTGTACCTAAATTTCAAATATGCCGAACAGAAAAGATTATATTAAAAGATCTTTATAAAACAAGTCTCCCTTATTCACTGGAAAAAAAATATGTTGATGTTCAGAAAGTGCAATACAGGTGTTGAGGCGTTTCAGTGAATTCGAGAGCTTGATTCTGTTTCTTACAAAGTGAAAGTAAAAAGCTTAATTCAAATTGTCATGGATGGAATGCAGATTTGTAATTTGGATTGGTGTTGATATTTGAAATGAAATGTTACAGTGAAAAATGACAGTAGCAGTGACATAATCCATTAAAACTTGATCTTGTGGTTGACTTGCATAGCGCCCTCTGTTGACCCAAATTTGGCAGGAAAGACTTGCATCCTATTTTTAGTGTGCAATTTTTGGGATTAACGTTACGGTTCAATGTCACAAAAATTATTTTGAAGTTGTTTATTGAGTTACAAATATTGCTGAGGTTTATTTCAAATCTGGGAAATGCTTTGGAAATTGTGCAAAGATTTTTGTTCATGCCGTAATTTACATAGATGATTCAATTTTCAACCAAAAACAGAAATGTGCTGATAAATAGAGGTTATTCCACAAAGCCAAATCCTAAATAACATACAAAAGTTGAGGATACTGTTCTGCAATTTGTGTATATGAAGGCTGATTTATAATCTCGTTTTCATTTGATTGTTTTTCTTGCAAACGTTTATGACAAAATTCCTGTGCCGTAGGCCTACATGTCATGTGACTTTCAGCATTTTCCTTGTGCCATGCATCATCCTTTTTTTTTTGGTAATTTTGTTTTGGTAATTTTTTGTGATTTTTGAGAAAGGTATGCATTCCATATGCCTTGGCAATTTTGTTGAAACTATTTTAAACATGTAGAAAAAGTCCTTTATTAGCAAAATGTTGCATTCTGCAAGTGGAGTCAGTTAAAAAAGAAAACAGTATTAGTGTGACAACATTCTGAAGTATAGAGTTTTAAAAGTATACAAATGCCTGTTCAACTAAATTGTCATTATTTTGGAATTCTTACTTTTCAAAGCTTCCAAATATAATGCAAAATTGTTAACCTACACTGGGATTTAAGTCTGGTGTTCACAAAGTCAATTTGATTAATATTAATTTATTCACCATGCAAGCCACCAATGTGCATCCTGAATTAGCTTATGAATATGCAACATGTGTAATGTTCCGTCGTGATTGGATGAGTGATTGTGATCATGTGATGCAAGGTGTGGCCAAGGTGTTTCCTTTTTTTGTATTTTCCAGATCACTTGTAGATAATGTACAGTTAAAAATAGGTCTCTAGGTGATTATTGTTTTGTTTTAGATAAGACAAATGAAAAGATTGTGTTCTGTTTATTTTTTGTTATTGAGCTTTACTCAGTAGTTCGGAAATGAAAAAAACGTGGGTCTAATTCCATGGAGCAGCTATAAGCAGAAAAATAACGCTTAGCAAATTTACGAGCTAAGCATGAATCAGCCGGGTACCAGTCATGAGCAATATGCATCGCATGACACTTTGGGTGGTAACCTGTTTTCCGTGCTTAGCAGATATCTGCAGTCAGCAGCACCTTGTAATGGGCCCCAGCTTTCAGTGCTTGAAAGAATCAGTTTCAGATGAATCACGTGTGAATATAAGTCTAAAGATTGTGAAAACTGTCCTCAAAAGAGAGAAAGGTTTTTAGCTGTGAGGGTAAAATCCAAATAATTTTTAGTGATGGATAAATTTTAAAAAGCCTGTACAGTACACAAGGCCAAAGAGAATTTCAATCAGTATGTGGCTGTAAGAAATCTGCCTTCAAACCTTCCTGAAAAATTCAATAAAAAATCATCCGGCTCCTTTAAATTCTTAAAAAAATTACCAGCGGTTTTCTCAAAGGTGAGTTCCCTGGAAATTGCAGAAATGAGCAAGTCCTCACCCCTTGTTTTTTAATTTTTTAGAAATCGTCAGAAACAATGACAACTGTAGATGTGTATGCCCTGTGCTAACTCATAGGACAAAAAAAAGCCAATCAACTGTTTTAAATGTTTTGTACATGTCAAATGTTGTACAGATTGTAACGTTGTAGTAGATTTGGAGAAATGGAGATGGATCTTTTTAAAAAAATGAACGGAGCAATACAAAGACAAACTGATGGTTAGGAATCTGTGGGATTAAAGAGAGCGAGAGACAAATGAATAGATTTTAAGAGATAATTTCATACAAATGTAGGTCTAGAAATCTTAGGCAACTCGTAGTTTTACTGACTAATTTTAAAAATGAGTAGAATTGTAGGCTGACACACAAATTGTCAAATTTTCATGTCAATAATTCCATTGTCTGCTCTATTAAAAAAGGGAGCCACCAAACTTGAAAAAAAGTAAGGTAAATTGTTTTGAGTCGTTTCATTTCTTGCGTTTTTATTTAAAATTATTAATCTAAGGTGAACCCCTTTTCTTTTTGAGTTTTCAGAAATTTAAATCTTGAAAAAGTGTTTCTGCGCTTCCAGAAAAGTCAAATCTGACCCAAATCAATGTAAGGTTACACCTCTTGCATTTAGGAAATAGGCTTATGTCGTGCACACAATTGGTAAAAATAGAAATTTCTTTTATTTTTCTACCTTAAATCCTGTCTATTTCCTCCAGTTTCTTAAATAATCACTTAATGAAGATGAAAATATGCTAATCCTGCATCCTGAAGTGTTTCTGGGTTGTTTTCAGAAAAGTAAATTTTTGACAAAAGTTTCATCAAAAAGTAAGGCTAACCCCTTGCATTTTTTTCAATTTTGGTCAAAAAATGAAATTGCTTGAAAATTGCTAGGAAGATGCCTGATGGCCCTTACAACACATTCCCAAAATTTCTCAGGCCATATGTGGTGTTCAAAAGAAATATGGCGTCCACAAAATTGGAAAAATTAATTGTTTTTTTTTTATTTTCGGACAAAAATCCTTTGTATTTGCCCAAATTTTCAAAATAATCACTTTAGAATGATGAAAATATGCTAATCATACCTCCTAAAGTGTTTCTAGGTCGTTTCCAGAAAAGTCAATTTTTGACCAAAATTTGATAAAAAAGTAAGGCTAACCCCTTGCATTTTTTTCAATTTTGGCCAAAATATGAAATTGCTTGAAATTGCTAGGAAGATGCCTGATGGCCCTTACAACACATTCCCAAAATTTCTCAGGCCATATGTGGTGTTCAAAAGAAATATGGCGTCCACAAAATTGGAAAAATTAATTGTTTTTTTTTAATTTTCGGACAAAAATCCTTTGTATTTGCCCAAATTTTCAAAATAATCACTTTAGAATGATGAAATATGCTAATCATGCCTCCTAAAGTGTTTCTAGGTCGTTTCCAGAAAAGTCAATTTTTGACCAAAATTTGATAAAAAAGTAAGGCTAACCCCTTGCATTTTTTTCAATTTTGGCCAAAAAATGAAATTGCTTGAAAATTGCCAGGAAGATGCCTGATGGCCCTTAGAACACATTCCCAAAATTTCTCCGGCCATATGTGGTGTTCAAAAGAAACATGGTGTCCACAAAATTGGAAAAATTAATTGTTTTTTTTTAATTTTCGGACAAAAATCCTTTGTATTTGCCCAAATTTTCAAAATAATCACTTTAGAATGATGAAAATATGCTAATCATGCCTCCTAAAGTGTTTCTAGGTCGTTTCCAGAAAAGTCAATTTTTGACCAAAATTTGATAAAAAAGTAAGGCTAACCCCTTGCATTTTTTTCAATTTTGGCCAAAATATGAAATTGCTTGAAAATTGCTAGGAAGATGCCTGATGGCCCTTACAACACATTCCCAAAATTTCTCCGGCCATATGTGGTGTTCAAAAGAAATATGGCGTCCACAAAATTGGAAAAATTAATTGTTTTTTTTTTATTTTCGGACAAAAATCCTTTGTATTTGCCCAAATTTTCAAAATAATCACTTTAGAATGATGAAAATATGCTAATCATACCTCCTAAAGTGTTTCTAGGTCGTTTCCAGAAAAGTCAATTTTTGACCAAAATTTGATAAAAAAGTAAGGCTAACCCCTTGCATTTTTTTCAATTTTGGCCAAAATATGAAATTGCTTGAAAATTGCTAGGAAGATGCCTGATGGCCCTTACAACACATTCCCAAAATTTCTCCGGCCATATGTGGTGTTCAAAAGAAATATGGCGTCCACAAAATTGGAAAAATTAATTGTTTTTTTTAATTTTCGGACAAAAATCCTTTGTATTTGCCCAAATTTTCAAAATAATCACTTTAGAATGAAGAAAATATGCTAATCATGCCTCCTAAAGTGTTTCTAGGTCGTTTCCAGAAAAGTCAATTTTTGACCAAAATTTGATAAAAAAGTAAGGCTAACCCCTTGCATTTTTTTCAATTTTGGCCAAAAAATGAAATTGCTTGAAAATTGCTAGGAAGATGCCTGATGGCCCTTACAACACATTCCCAAAATTTCTCCGGCCATATGTGGTGTTCAAAAGAAACATGGTGTCCACAAAATTGGAAAAATTAATTGTTTTTTTTTAATTTTCGGACAAAAATCCTTTGTATTTGCCCAAATTTTCAAAATAATCACTTTAGAATGATGAAAATATGCTAATCATGCCTCCTAAAGTGTTTCTAGGTCGTTTCCAGAAAAGTCAATTTTTGACCAAAATTTGATAAAAAAGTAAGGCTAACCCCTTGCATTTTTTTCAATTTTGGCCAAAATATGAAATTGCTTGAAAATTGCTAGGAAGATGCCTGATGGCCCTTACAACACATTCCCAAAATTTCTCCGGCCATATGTGGTGTTCAAAAGAAATATGGCGTCCACAAAATTGGAAAAATTAATTGTTTTTTTTTAATTTTCGGACAAAAATCCTTTGTATTTGCCCAAATTTTCAAAATAATCACTTTAGAATGATGAAAATATGCTAATCATGCCTCCTAAAGTGTTTCTAGGTCGTTTCCAGAAAAGTCAATTTTTGACCAAAATTTGATAAAAAAGTAAGGCTAACCCCTTGCATTTTTTTCAATTTTGGCCAAAATATGAAATTGCTTGAAAATTGCTAGGAAGATGCCTGATGGCCCTTACAACACATTCCCAAAATTTCTCCGGCCATATGTGGTGTTCAAAAAAAATATGGCGTCCACAAAATTGGAAAAATTAATTGTTTTTTTTTTAATTTTCGGACAAAAATCCTTTGTATTTGCCCAAATTTTCAAAATAATCACTTTAGAATGATGAAAATATGCTAATCATGCCTCCTAAAGTGTTTCTAGGTCGTTTCCAGAAAAGTCAATTTTTGACCAAAATTTGATAAAAAAGTAAGGCTAACCCCTTGCATTTTTTTCAATTTTGGCCAAAATATGAAATTGCTTGAAAATTGCTAGGAAGATGCCTGATGGCCCTTACAACACATTCCCAAAATTTCTCCAGCCATATGTGGTGTTCAAAAGAAATATGGCGTCCACAAAATTGGAAAAATTAATGTTTTTTTTTAATTTTCGGACAAAAATCCTTTGTATTTGCCCAAATTTTCAAAATAATCACTTTAGAATGATGAAAATATGCTAATCATGCCTCCTAAAGTGTTTCTAGGTCGTTTCCAGAAAAGTCAATTTTTGACCAAAATTTGATAAAAAAGTAAGGCTAACCCCTTGCATTTTTTTCAATTTTGGCCAAAAAATGAAATTGCTTGAAAATTGCTAGGAAGATGCCTGATGGCCCTTACAACACATTCCCAAAATTTCTCAGGCCATATGTGGTGTTCAAAAGAAATATGGCGTCCACAAAATTGGAAAAATTAATTTTTTTTTTTAATTTTCGGACAAAAATCCTTTGTATTTGCCCAAATTTTCAAAATAATCACTTTAGAATGATGAAAATATGCTAATCATGCCTCCTAAAGTGTTTCTAGGTCGTTTCCAGAAAAGTCAATTTTTGACCAAAATTTGATAAAAAAGTAAGGCTAACCCCTTGCATTTTTTTCAATTTTGGCCAAAAATGAAATTGCTTGAAAATTGCTAGGAAGATGCCTGATGGCCCTTACAACACATTTCCAAAATTTCTCAGGCCATATGTGGTGTTCAAAAGAAATATGGCGTCCACAAAATTGGAAAAATTAATTGTTTTTTTTAATTTTCGGACAAAAATCCTTTGTATTTGCCCAAATTTTCAAAATAATCACTTTAGAATGATGAAAATATGCTAATCATGCCTCCTAAAGTGTTTCTAGGTCGTTTCCAGAAAAGTCAATTTTTGACCAAAATTTGATAAAAAAGTAAGGCTAACCCCTTATATTTTTTTCAATTTTGGCCAAAATATGAAATTGCTTGAAAATTGCTAGGAAGATGCCTGATGGCCCTTACAACACATTCCCAAAATTTCTCAGGCCATATGTGGTGTTCAAAAGAAATATGGCGTCCACAAAATTGGAAAAATTAATTGTTTTTTTTTAATTTTCGGACAAAAATCCTTTGTATTTGCCCAAATTTTCAAAATAATCACTTTAGAATGATGAAAATATGCTAATCATGCCTCCTAAAGTGTTTCTAGGTCGTTTCCAGAAAAGTCAATTTTTGACCAAAATTTGATAAAAAAGTAAGGCTAACCCCTTGCATTTTTTTCAATTTTGGCCAAAAATGAAATTGCTTGAAAATTGCTAGGAAGATGCCTGATGGCCCTTACAACACATTCCCAAAATTTCTCCGGCCATATGTGGTGTTCAAAAGAAATATGGCGTCCACAAAATTGGAAAAATTAATTGTTTTTTTTTAATTTTCGGACAAAAATCCTTTGTATTTGCCCAAATTTTCAAAATAATCACTTTAGAATGATGAAAATACGCTAATCATGCCTCCTAAAGTGTTTCTAGGTCGTTTCCAGAAAAGTCAATTTTTGACCAAAATTTGATAAAAAAGTAAGGCTAACCCCTTGCATTTTTTTCAATTTTGGCCAAAATATGAAATTGCTTGAAAATTGCTAGGAAGATGCCTGATGGCCCTTACAACACATTCCCAAAATTTCTCAGGCCATATGTGGTGTTCAAAAGAAATATGGCGTCCACAAAATTGGAAAAATTAATTGTTTTTTTTAAATTTTCGGACAAAAAACCTTTGTATTTGCCCAAATTTTCAAAATAATCACTTTAGAATGATGAAAATATGCTAATCATGCCTCCTAAAGTGTTTCTAGGTCGTTTCCAGAAAAGTCAATTTTTGACCAAAATTTGATAAAAAAGTAAGGCTAACCCCTTGCATTTTTTTCAATTTTGGCCAAAAAATGAAATTGCTTGAAAATTGCTAGGAAGATGCCTGATGGCCCTTACAACACATTCCCAAAATTTCTCCGGCCATATGTGGTGTTCAAAAGAAATATGGCGTCCACAAAATTGGAA